ACATTGTCTTGCATCGCGTCAAGGGCATACGGCTCGAGCTGTCAAAGAGCCTAAGAAGACAGCCGATTGATGAAGAACAGGCACAATCATGATAACCCCAGAGACATTATCCATAGTGCTACATTATGCATACTCATACGCACAAACCCCCTTCGGCTTTTGGCCGAGGTTGTTTTTAGCGACGTCACAGAGCTTCGTGGGCATTGCCAGTTTTGACGACAAGGGACAACATCACACATCCAGTGTCAAGTCATTCGCGGCATCCTGTTTTGTCAAGATTGGCCATACCCGTCTTTTCTCGGTTACAAGCAGCAAACAAGTCCTTGGGGGCATTCAATACGCAGGTATTGATTGCACGCACTCAGAGTCCCCAGTCAACCAGCTTGCCACGCATGCTTATTATTACACTCTATCGACCTTGTATCGGTATCGGATCTACTACTATTACCCGCAATCCGTAATACTGTATTGTACGCATGGGTTTGTGCTCCGTGTTCTATACAAACACGTGCAAGCTCCGTCGGCATCTCGGGGCCACTTTGATGAGCTTAGCGCGTCCATGTGCATACAATGTCTGCAAAGCTGCGATTTGGAGATCGGGGCGTCAAGCTCGGTGTTGATTCTGCTTCCACCCTTCTCCAATCGGCATCAACTATTGCGCCGGCTTTAGCAGAAATTGCCTGCGATCAGAATCAAAGGATCCTCGGAAGGAAAAGGTCTCTGGCCGTCTTATCATGTCGCATTCGGTAGCAACAACCTACAGGGTACCATCCCCCATGGCTTGATGATCTACGACGCTTTGGCAAGATGCAGATCCCCGGTCTGCAAAGCATATACTACTAATACGATCCTTGGAGAATGGGGCTCCCTAGGGGTGTTCCAAAGAAATGGCCCTTGAAGGTGGCGACGACTTTGCAAATTATACAAATGTGAGGCATCTATTCAACACATTGGGAGAGCATCGTCATTCGCGCTCACACGGCCCTCGTCATGGTGTCGATGCAGTGGGTGGAGAGAAGCACTTCCCGGCTGCAGTTGAAATAACGGGCTTTCCGCTGGAATAGCTACCGTGTGTCGATCATGATGCCGCGGCCAGTCCGTGAAGGCGGATTCTCAGCATGTATGCCTCGCTTGTGAAGAGGCGTCTGTGAGCCAGCGAACCGGCGGCCGAGGTCCTTACAGCCGTTGGTCAGTACGCGCCTAAGCTCGATGTCCGGCCGCCGAGATGGCCCCCTGCTAAGACCTTACCCCGTAAGGAACAGGCGCCGTTGGGCTTCGACCCGCAGAAACCCCGCGATGGAAGTTGTTGCATGACAAGTCCATACCCTCGCAAAAGGGACTACTCGTACGGCTAGTTCGTGTGGAGCATCTACTACAGGCACAATGGTGTGGGCGCGGATACAGGGCATCTGTGCCGCGGCCGTATTAGGCTTGTCATGAAGCAGCTGGGCCATCTCAACACTCGACTCATGCCCAGCAAAGGAAAGCCTTGCCAGCCATTCCTGCGAGTATCAGAGTCCATATACATAGCAACAGAAGGGTTAGCTATAATACGGGAGCAGCTGAACAGGGCAAAGAAAAACAAAAGGTAGGGAAGAGAATGATGGAAAGAGAATGGGAAAGAAGAAGAATGAAAACAAGAAGAAAACAAGAAGAAAAACAAATGATATTGGGAGCGGCGTTATTAAGTCGGCGGCCGATAGACGAGGTGCCCGTGTGGTATCATGTACCTAAAATCCGGGATGCGGATGATTCGGCCTTGACTCCCAGACCGAATGGAGACGCTTCACACGATACGGCGCGTGGTTCTGCGCGAATAACTCGACTGGCTTTGCTTGTTCACCAATAAACCCTTGGTTGACGAGCACTTGACGAAACATGTACAAACATCTTGATCCGCCTGACGGCAAAAGCATCAAACACAACGCTGGACAGCACGAATGGCCGATATACGAGTACATCACCATTCTCAAATAGGCGCAGGGGTCTGTTCAGCTTCAGCCACGGCCGTAAAAGTAACGGCTGGAATGCGGTTTCAACATGGGCGGCACTGCGGCACTCACATCAGCCGAATGTGCGTATATGGTATGTCAATACAAGACATACTTGTACGAGTACTGCTCTCCTGGATAGGCGACAAGAGATGCGGCTAGCGGGATGTCACCCACGGTTGAATTAATACCTCAATCGCCTTATTGTACTACTAGTACTCGTAGTAGCATTACGGAGCAGATCATCAACCCCATCTTGATGCGGTAGAAACGGAGCTAAAACCAGCCGGCGGAGGCTCACCCCGCGCCATGAACCGGATCTACTTGTACTACAGAGTGTCACCCTTCACATCTTTTTGCGTCCAAGTGGCATCACCGCAACTGACCAAGACAATCTGCCACAACAGGGCCTGTTCAAGGAAATTCCTCTATGCGGTGGCATAGTGCGTGACCAGGATCCATGAGACCCGACGGCTCTCCCGAAACCTGGGATGAACCTATTACCGTATTCTACTCCCAAAGGGCAATAGCTTCTTACCTCACGGCCACTCGTGCCGATCTCGAGTGCTTACCAAGTACATATGAAGTACTACATACTACGGAACAACGTCGACGAGCGGCACTCTTACCACGTAGGATGACCCAACAGCCTTTCTGAGTCGATCGATGAGGGAGGCTTGCCCATGGAAAGAGGATGCTCGGATATCAAGTGTTGGAAGCTCAACAAGCTGATCTGAGATGTTAGTGGCATTTTGTCGTCACATCTCTCTTGCATACGCTTCGTTATTCGTATGAAAGAGGCCCTATCAAACCCCATCTATTCCCAATGGAATATGGTACATACGCGCGGTCAGGGTACATGCACACTCCCTCGCCAAGATATCAAGACCTCATCAAGCGTTGGCTTGGCACCGCCAGGCTATGGTATATCAAGACGGTTTCTGCACATGGCTGTGGTACACGATACACAAATCTCGACGACTCATTACGACATGGTACCTATATCATCAGGAGACTGTCTGTTCCGGCTCATTCTTGAAGGCGACGGAAGGGGTCGCTCGTACCAAGCGCTGTCAGTGGAAGTGTAGTCCGGCGCCGTCCCGTCAGAAGGCGATCTAACGCAAACATTCCCTGCTGGCTCTACAGGCGACGCAGCCGATCGGGCGGCGTCAAAACCATCCTACAGCAGCGGTGCGACATAGCCTGCGGCTACATACTACTCCGCATGAGGTAGCACCGGCACTGCTACGAAGAATACGACGTCGATACTATGTTAGTCTAGGCACTAGCCGTAGCGCTGCAACTCTGTGGGCCCATGATTGTGCGAGTGGAGGACCTCACGAGGATGATCTGGTCGGCTGAGAAGCTCGGACGACAAACTTCAATGACCTTTTGCTCAAGACTGCAATTCTCCGCATGGCGTCAAGGGAAACACGCTTCGCAGAGGACACGTTTGCTCTTATCCAAATGCAGTGGTAAAACAAAATCGCCATCTTCTTTCGGGGTGAAGCTGTCCGTTGTTCATCACCGAGTGTTTGTTTCGAGAAGGAGAAGGGCTGGCTCGCGGATCACGGCACTTGCAACCTGTCGGCGCTTTATGCTTAATGAATCTTGCAACGTGCTACGAAGCGTTTGCTTTATATTGCCTTGCTCCTCTATCTTCAACGGCTCACACCCTGTGTCCACCAATGCTACATACCACTCAAGGTACCAGGAGCAGCAGAGACCTCTGTCCTCGCGTGTTTCGCCCGTTTTGGATGCCGCATATACTACTACTTGATATACCTACTTGTACATGCACGACTCCATCATACAGAGCACCGTTTTGTAAGCCGGCCAAGTGCTTATGAATTCGGTGGTGGCCGAGGAGGATGCAAAGCCGGCGTCGAGTTTCCGCACCTCTTTGGTTAGGGGTGTCTCACTTTGCTTTCTTTTTCCCTCTTTTTTTTTTTTTTTAACCCGTTTTCCCTCCGTGTTGACTGGCCAATGCGTGCGTTTCTCCCCCTGGCCCCGCGAAAAATCTGCACATTGTTGCTCCGTCCGCCGCGTGGTCTCGGAGACAACGACGCTTTGGTAATGTCTTGTGAGGAGATGGTGATGAACAAGAGCCTTGAGTGGCCAGGTGAGGCGGACGGCCCGAAAGGGATTCTCCGCCATGGCCGATGGCCCAATGCGGCAGTATCAACTCTCTCCCTTTTTGTCTTACCACTTCCCCATAGCATACGAGGCACGCACGCTCCAATGCCCACGGAGGGAGTGGTAGTACAAGTACAAGCTGTCTCTACGGCCGAGACAACGCTTTCCCAGCTAGCATCGCGGCTTGAGTGCCGAATGACATGATCATCAACCTTCTCTTTTCGATACGATGGGCGGGGATCAGCAAAGCTCGTCAAGGCGATATTAGCACTGCTACCATCAAGCGCTCGGGCCCGGTAGTGGCATCTGCGTCTTTGGCGCGGGCCTTTTTCCTCTGGCCGTTTTTTTCTCTGTTGAAATGGGGACAGAAACGCCGAGACAGTCTTTTTCTGCTTGTCGTGAAATGAAGAGCAATGGCATTTCCTCGGCCTCGCTTGGCGGCACTAGCCTGGCCGTTTTGTTTTATGACGCCGGAACACGGACAAACACGACCAGATCGATCTATGTAACGTTCTATTCAACTATTAACTGACACAGCCGTAATTTCGTAAACGCGTAGATTTTCCATCGCTAAACAACCAAATGCTCCGTTGCATCCCTCTGCCAAATTGTCCGTCGTCTCGATATGCCCCAAAACGAACAGGACCGCGTGTAATGGGCCGAAGGGGTGTTGCTTTCCACATCCCCGTGCTGGCTGAATTGTTGCGTACAAGGAGAGAAAAAGTAAAGAAGAAGAAAAGTAAAGATAGTAACACGTTGAAACATCGAAGCGACACATCAGGTGTATGAAGAGTAGTCATTGCAAGATTCTTGGTCTCGAATGATATGATGCCGATCCGTAAGCTTTTCGAAGCAATTTTTCTACCTCGAGTGTCACCGAAAACGCCAGTTCTCGTCATCTTCGTCTGAATCGCCATCCTCAATCTCATCTTCCGCATCGAGGAGCGCCATCTGGACAAAGTGTCTAACCCACGCCTCCTGGTTGGCGTCCAACCCGTCCTGATTCTGATGATGATTGCCATTCGGGTCCGGGTTCTGCCTCGCTTCTGCCCGCGCAGCACCTCCTCGACCAGCACCTCCAGCGGCTCCGGCTCTGCCGCGCGCTCCTCCACGCCCGCCGTCATGACCTCGACGGGCATCGCCCCTAGCGCCCCTCGCACGGTTGACAGGATGACCTCTAGCATTGTTGGCAGCTTGGCCTCCGCGATGATTCGGACCATGAGCCGCAGCACGTCCTCTTCCTGCTCCTCCGGCGCGGGCTCTGGCGGGCTGGTTGTCCGCACCTCGATGCCCGCCACGCCCCTGATTGTTGTTGTTGTTGTTGTTGTTGTTATTATTGTTGCCGTTGTTGACTGGATTGTCCATGAGTCGTAGAACAAGGGGAGCCTCACGAGCTACGGCAACTCTCTGGCCGTTCTCATCAAGCTGCGCCGGCGCGTTGGCATTCGCATTCGCATTGGCATCCACACGGCCCTCGACCTCGTCATCCACCTCTTCAATCTCCAAGAAAATCTCGTTCAGAGCCTCTTCGTCTTCCCGCACGACTTCGTTCGCACCATTGTTTACCGCAGCATCGCGTCCACCACCGAATCCTATACCAACATCATCGCCGTCTCCACCTTCCAGCTCCCACAAGCGCATATAGCATGATGTCACCTTGCCATTTTCCTGTTGGTTGTAGTGCCGATATGGATTTGCTGGATCCAGCCAACAGGAGCAAAGGTAGCAGAAGTGTGTGTCGCATCGCGAGCAAATCATATGGTTACAGCCGTGAGTCTTTTGTGCTGGGGCGTTGCAAGTTGGGCAGGGACTTGTATGCAGTTTGAGATACTCGAGAGAAGCCTTGTCGTCCTCGGTAAGCTCGCCATCTTTGCGTCTGGGGGCGCATTGGAAGAATTCTCCATGCCATGACTGATAACATCTACTGCAAAAGGCAAATCCGCAATCCTCACAGACGGACAAGAGGTCACCGCGATTGAACTTGTCTGCTTTCTTGCTCTTTCCGTTGGCTTCACTCTTCTCGTCCGGATCAGACTCGGCGTCTGAAGTTTCGCCAAAGTCGAGACCTTCAGGCTTCTTGTGCTTTTTGGAGCGCGCGGCTCCGTTGCACCACTGTCGAGGGCAGTAGATTGTGTTTTTGTCAGATTCAAGTTCCGTCTTATACTTGAGGTCGACATAGCGTTTCACCATTTCTTCAGAGAGGCCAATCTGCAGCAACTCGCTGGGGCTGATGAAAGTCTTGGGCTTGCGTCTCTTTTCTCCTTCCCCCTTTGCGGCAGCAGAACGCTCTTTAGCACAGTTGGGGGCCAGACAGCGAACAGTCGACAAGTTGCCTTCTTTGATGGCATCATTGTAGAAATCCTGGAGACACTGCAAGCAGAAAATGTGAGTGCAGTCAAGCATCTTGTGACACTTTGATCCTTTCTTGGGATCTACGGGAGCATCATGGTGGATTAGTATGAGACCATGAGTTGATATATCGGCTGCAAGTTTATACATACCCAAGCAAATGCCACAGTTGAACGTCTCCTTGTCAAAGGCGGCCTTTTTGGCTTTGATATCGTAGTCCAGCACGGCGAGTTTATGCTCCGGATCGACCTGGAGAGTTCCTTCAGAAGTAATGGCCCCAAACACATCGTCAGCAGCCCGCTGTATGTGGTCGATATAGGTGTAGGCCACCAGGTCCCGTCCCGTTTCTTCCCACAGTTGAGAGGCTTCTCCCGCAAGACGTGCAAGCATCTCAGCCGAGAGCCATTGCGGAGTGGTTGAGATCTTGACCAGGGGAGCACATTGTGCGGGATAGCCATCCGGAAGCGTGATGTGCATCGTCAGAGGAGGTAGATGAGAGACCTGCAGAGAGTCCACCAACGCCGGTGCATCAGACGCCGAGCCGTTGAGAGCCTGGTCAGGCGCAGCAGCGGCCGGAAAGGTCACGGTGACGGGGGCAGCCGGTTCCACGGGCAGCTCCAGCTCAAAAACGAATCCAGCGCCATCGCCATCTGGACGGCGAAGCTCGGGATAGATGGCCTCGAGGGTCTCCAGCTCGGTGGCGCGGGCATCATCGTCATCGGCTGCTGAATGATCCATGTCGGCTGCACGGCTGAAGCATGTCCGCTGGCAACAGAGAGAAGACGGCGATTATCGAGCCTCGTGAGTTGCAGCAGTGCAGTTCAAAAGTTCAAGGAACCTGTGGCAAAGCGTGAGCAAAGAGAGACTTGAGACTTGATCGGCGATAATTCTTAATCCAATCATATCAAGGGCGCTCGCCATACTAACGCACACTATGGCTCTGGCCCAGAGAGAACAAGACAAGCAGGCCGACAGAGAGAAGAAGAAGAATGTATCCAAAAAAAGAAGACAAAACACAATATAAACAAATAAATAAATAAAAGGAAGAGATATGGCTACAGGTCCATCTCGGTTTGCCGCCGTTGAGTCATCACCGAGTGTTGGAATCTGTGCTTTTGCAGTGGAATAGAAACGCTTAGAAGGAACCTGCCGCTATTCTTCTGCTCTAGAGGTACTAGAGCTGTTGCTGCTGTTAATCCTGTGCGTCGCGGGCCGTGGCTACCTAATTCTGCTAATTTTCCGTCCGTAGGTCCATGCAATTTTCGCCTCCGGGCTCTCAAGAGCTGCGCCACACCTGTTGGCCAGAATCAAGCCACGCTTGCCACGGTTTCTCTCCTTGGTTTCAGCCCCGAAATGCCGTCACATGCAATCTGCATCTGGATGTGTCCTTGCATCATCACTTTTTTCCCTTTCTTTTCTTCTTTTCTTCCCTTCTTTCTTCGCTGCTTTCCGTCGCTTTTCTGACTTGGGGGCGATTTGCTCTTTGCACGGTACATGATGGGAATGTCGTTGAAACCGGCAGTCCCAGCCTGAATCCTGATTCTCTTCTCTCATCTTCTTCTTTTTTTCCCTCCTTGTCTTTCCACTTGCATCGAGGTAGTATCATGCACTCACCACCCGCAAACATGAGTGAAGATTATACTTCCACACTTGCCTCTTTGTCCGTCACGCATGTCTACTATGTAAGTCCCCAATCGGTCATCCTATTCTCCTCAGCCCAATAGACCAAGTTAACCAATCGTCTTCCTCTCCCTCAGGACCCGGACGACTACCTCTCCCTCGTATGCGCCTACCTCGCCCTCCTCCCCCAGGCCCTCTGCGTCGTCTACGCCACCCTCATATTTTCCACCCGCGAAGCCGAAATCTGTCTAGCCTTTGCCGGCCAACTCGCCTGCGAGGCCCTCAACTTCATCCTCAAGCGCGTCATCAAGGAGGAACGCCCGCGCCGCATCCACGGCAAGGGCTACGGCATGCCCAGCTCGCACGCCCAATTCGTTGCTTTCTGGAGCCTCTCTCTCGCCCTGTTCCTCCTGGTGCGACATAAGCCGCTCGCGCAGGGAAAGCCGTCATCATCATCATCATCATCATCGGCGAGGGCCACGATATTCGACGGCGGCCGCCCCTGGACTTTGGTCGAGAGGCTGGCTGTTAGTCTTGCTGGAGCGCTCGTGGCGGCGGCAACGGCGTGGAGCAGGATCTACTTGAATTACCATACAACGACACAGGTGGCTGCGGGTGCGGCTGCAGGACTCATCTTTGCGCTGGTTTGGTTTGTGGCGACGGAGATTCTTAGGAGGACGGGATGGCTGGCTTGGGGCATTGAATTGCCGCCTGCGAGGCTGCTGAGGATACGCGATTTGGTGGTGGAAGAAGACATGTGTCAGGCGGGATGGGAAAAGTGGGAAGAGAAGAAGAAGACGAAGACGAAGACAAATTAGACGAGACATATAAGCGCATGTTCAAAATCATGGTAGTAATGTCAGCAATTGATTCCTCATGGTTACCTTTGCTCAAACCCGTAATTTCATACGAGCAAAAGTGGCTGTCCAAAAACATGTCTCGTAGTGTCTAATTTTGACGTCTTCTATCATGTTCTCATACATAGCCTATCCATACATTGCAATTCTCATTTACCCGACTGCTCCAGCAGTATCTACCATAAAGCCGCCTTCACCTTGAACCTGAAAAAAAAGAGTTTTCCCTACGTGAGTAAGGAAAAGAAGGAGAAGAAGAGAAGAAGAAGAAGAAGAAGAAGAAGAAGAGAAAAGAGAAAAGGGAGGTGGGGGGGATAGACAAGGAAATAAAAAAAAAACATCGCCCGCTTGCATTCCATCACATTCCCCCCCAAACAGCCAAGAAGTGTCCCTCACAGAAGGACTAAAAAGTAGAAAAGGAAGAGAAGAAAGGAGTTCCCCTAGAGGGCATCAAGGACTTCAGCGCACATGGTTTCTTCGCGAATTGCGTCCTGTCTAAGTCGCTACAGCCATAGCCGGAAACTCAGGGGTCAACCCCCAAGAACCGCAATGTCAGAACCAAGGCAGTTGATTTAAAAAATAGCAGTCACCTAAATCCATTCCGTTGTTCCAACAGAGTAGCTAGCATCGGCGTTGGAAGCACCTATCGTCGAAGAAATGGAATCGATGCTCCTGCGCCTTGCCTTTGCACGTGGAGATAGAGCATTGTTTGGGCTGTATACTGTAGGACTGAGAGTGATGGGCTTTTCACTCTGCTCCATCTCAGCGGTTGTCCCAATAGGCGAGCGAGTCGAATTCCTGTAGTCATCACTGACAGCTACGCCAATGTCACGAGAAGTGGGTATATATGAGGGCCTGGCAGCTAACGAGGAATCGGGACGAGAAGGTGAAAAAGGCCGCTCAGGGGAGAAGTAGAATGGAGCTTCCAAACGCGTCACATCGCTGAGGTTGGAAACTCTCAGACCAATCTGGACTGTGGCGGAAGACACCAGCGAAGAGTCTCGGTTGTGTCTAGGAGCGCCCGAAATGCGGATCGAAGGTGGCGGCAGCAAATCTATGAATATCCCGTTGTCGAGTGTTGTATTCTCGTTGCCTCTCGTTGGTGAATAAGTCGTGGAAGGGAGAAGAATGCCGCTGCTGCCTTTGGGTCTCGCTTCAACCACTTCTCGTTGACTTGGAAACAAACTGTACGAGTCTTTCCGAGCCCGAGTCACAACTGGCGACGGAGCCCCATTCATCAGCTCGGAGCCGTCAGCAGCGGCTCTATTGAACGGAGATGTTGTTTGGATCGCCTCAAGGCTGTGACCCTTTCTGTTTGTGTTTCCCACAGTCTCTCCAATAGCCTCTGACATTCTTGTACTTGCGCGAGACTCAAATATCCTCGCCGGTGATACCGGCTGCTCGATCTGCGTATTGAAAATATCTGTCCCGGGCCATGATTCGACGGATTTTTCTTTTCGTGGGCCGCCGAGTTCAAGATGCCCCAGCGGGCCAATCTTCTGCATCTTTCGAGAGCGGAGGAAGAGATAGAGGACGCCAAATGTGATTCCCGATACGTTACTTGCCACGGAAGCCACCATGTTTAGGTTCAGTTGTATTTGTGTCAGTGCGAGTGGGTTTTGAGAGGAGATGCTAAAGAAGAAGGGAGCCATTAAGCCCTGGGTTATTTCTTTGTTAGCTGCTTGTGATAGGAAAGTAAGGGGATTCTGAGACAACATACGTTTATTACAGCACCCAGAATCATGTAGTAAACCATTCTGGAGGCGGCCGTCCTTTCGATAATGCCGACTGATGGGTCTCGATGTAGCCGAACAAATATGATTATGGCCCCGATTATGAGGATGCAAGAGATTGCCGTCAACAGGACGAACGACTCAAGCCTCCAAGTCTGGACAAACCAGAAAAGAGAAGCATAGCACAAGTCTGGCGGCCTGATAAAACGCGTTACCACGTACATCGCCACGGCACCAATGATGACAACGACGAGACAGGCAACAATGACCCATCTGGATCGCCGTTCAAATGGTCGCCGCCTCAGTGCTTGCACGGCTGTTTCCAAACCAAAGATGAGCTGTATATACGGGACAGTAAATAAGGCTACCAATGATCAGTAGCAGCTCTAAAGGGTATAATAGCGATGGAAACTTACCCGGCAACATGGCCTGAGATATTGACGTGCATCCGAGGATCAGGAGCCCCTCCAGCCCCTTGGTCTGGCTAACCACATATACAATACCCTGTATTGATATGCCGATAGATAAGACGAAGGGGAATATTTCTGATGTTTCTATAAATTTGAAGACGGACGAACTAAGTCAGGGTTAGCCACCTGCTGCGTAAACCCACGAGAGTTGAAGGGGGGAAAATACCGGAATCCAAAAGCTGGATCGCTCCTCTTCGCTCCCTTGTAGCAATTCCGAAAAATGACGAATGCCAGAACCACCGCCATGGCAATATTAAACCCAGCAAGAATAATAATCATGGATCGGACCTGCTTGGCAACGGCGAACTTGAGGTTGTTGATGATTGAGGACGTTGAATTGTCCATGAACTGAAATCCACCCACATCGTTGTCTATCTGCCTGGCCCAAACCATCCCCCCTTGTTGCTCCGATAGCATATTCCAGTCGTCCATTTTGACTTGATTGCTTTATGGCTTCCCATTTATTTGCTCTTTCGTGACGAAAGCTTTCGCCAATCTGGCGCCGGCGTCGAAGCCTCGACGAGCCACGCCTCAGATGGCCATTGGCGCCTTGAATATCACGCAAGTATATGCAGTCGCCGTGTTGCGTATAAGTCGTCGTACAGCAGGAGATGAGCAGTCGTAAGGAGAAGAGGAGAAAATAGAGGAAATAGAAGCGAAAGTGAAAGTGAAAATTGCTCTCGTCCTGCGGAAGCAAAGAAACGAATGAGAGAAGCAAAAAGTTTGAGAAGCTTAGGGCAATAACCGGAGCATGCCTGCAAAAGCCTAACTATCCAAGTGAACCGAATGCAAAACAGCAGCCGTGTCAGTCGTCCAGACGACTACGAACAGAAATGTAACAAAGTCAAAAGAAGACAAAGGGAAAGGAAAAGAAGGCAATGGGGAGAAACACTGTTTACTCCAGACCAATACCAAATACTGCTTCCAGAGCGAGTAGAGAAGGCAAAGGGATACACGAGAAACAGACGAGACGAACGGGGAGAAGAAGGCTGGATAGCGTGGGGCAGGAAACGCAAGCGTCGACAGGGCACTCCGGGACATGGAGATCCGGGCAGAGAACGCTGGAGAGGATTCCAAGCTCCATCTCTAGCAGGACATGGGTTTGTGTTTCAATCGGTACCAACGGTTAGGGTAGACACCGTCGTCTTGGCCAGGGGTTAGTGACGATGAAGCTAACTGTAGAGATGGCCAATGTCTTGATTCATTCACTGGGTTCCCTCTTCCTCTTCCTATACATGAAGAAGACTAAGAATAGAAGTGAGAGGGGGGGCCTGTTTAGGCTACGAGAACGATGAGACGTAGAGAATTCATCAATTGCTGGTGCCTGTCCATTCAATGATGAGTTTTTATTGCGTCCTTTGGTTACTACAAGTCGAACAATCCAAGGGGAACGGCTGGGGTAGAGAACAGCTGCATCAAAGCCGTCCAGCATCTCCCACCGGGGCTGTGCGTGGGTTTTCTTCAACGGCCATGATCACATTAGCCGTGTGATGGTGATGATGGCGATGATGGTTCATTTCGCCCAAGTCCCGGCAACAGGCTGCCCGAATCTCACCAGGGCGGTGGCGGCGGGGTTTGAAGCAGACTTGCAACAGATTCGAGTTTCGAAACTCAGGAGCCTTGCTAGAGGTAAGAGTTGAAGCGTAGTACCAATGCATCTACAGACAGATGCGGTAATAGGTAAAGAGGCGCTATACCCGGACCAGGCTTAGGCTATCCGCGGAGAACCCCTGGTGCGAATCTGGTCTGCGGGTCCCATTTGCAGAGGCATCATCACGTCTTGTATGTACGAGTACGAAGCAATCTTCGGTTATCAGTGTCACTGCAACACGCGTGTGTGAAATATGACTTGTCGTGCGGAGGAGAGCAGCCTGGCTCGTGGCTGTTTCGAAGAGACAGCGCGGCATGTCATCCGGGGTGCGAGCTCGAGTGGATCTCGGTGGCCATGCTGATGCGATAAGCACTGATGAGTTGACGGACTAAAACATCATCTGGAGAAGCTCCCTCTGTATGTGCAAGCCGGGCTTCAGAGCCAACGGCGGCCCTGTCTCCAATATCGATTTCACAGTGCTTGATCCCAGATAACCCGATCGAATCCCCCTCTGAGGCTTCTCACATGATGCTGCTCATAGCAAGAGTACATCTCTGCTCACGAACCCTGGGTGCGACGGTGCCCTAGGACAACCACACGGTTGTTTCAAGAGTTGATGTTTGTGATGAGTCCCTAGAGCTTAGCTCTCTCAACAGGTAGCCATCTCGGACAAAGGAATAACCCCGTAAAGAAGCAATGGCGTCTTGTCTGTTGGTTCGGCGGACCAAGCTGTCAACGGCTCTTCATCCTTCTCCCAAACCATGTCAAGAACCTTCTCAGCCAAGCCGCCTCGCAGGGTATACAATATTTGATCCGCGTGGTAGGCCTAGCCGGAAGACGTGTTTTGTCGTGGGCAAGTTTGCCGTGACGATGAATCTGTGATGAAACTGTCCCCTTTCTGAGGCAACAAGTCAGCAAGTCAGCCAAATTCTGCCATCTTGCTCAAACGCCAAAAGCTACACCTACATGCCTCAATGCGCCAGCGACGGCGCAACACGTGTTTGGTCACGTCCGCAGGCATGCATGCGTGTGTCCTTTGCACCCCCGCAAGACGCGAGGCTTTCCCACATTCTCCACGTCAAGCTGACGGATGGGACGTCAAGCATAGAGGCAGCATCAAGGGAATCGTTTATTGATTTCTCATGGGTAGAGGGAAAATACAGGGTCTAAACGCAGGCAACAGTCGACACCTAGAAAGCAAAGTAGAGTAGACACTTGTTCTTTTTGTCAAAAGTGCCCAACACTGCACACCTACAACGCACATGGTTGCCTTTAGGACAAGCTCCATAGCGTCATGATTCGGTAAGCCCCATCCGGCGATGAACCAAGGTTGGCAACTTGTCAGTCACGCCTTGAAGCACGTGCAAACGCCAATATCCCATCGTAGGTAATGCAACTAAGGCATCGCAGCATGTTTCGTGTTACCGTTCATAACCCACATTGGCAGCAAGGCAGAATAAGCTTCCCAGATTGCAGTCGATAGCCGTGTTCTTGCCAAGAGGCGGAGGAAAGCGTCCGGCTTGGGTCCGTGGAGATCTCGATGCCCGCATCAGCAGGTCGATGCCTGCAGCACGGCAGACGCTGCATCTTGCAAAAGGGAAGCTCATCGCAGCCCATTATGCCATGGATGCGTCATTCACTCGGGGCGGCCCCACACCAAGACGGGCCCGTAGCCTAGCCGCCACACGTGGCGTCGCCACCGACACCGCGCCAAATCATAGGTAGAGACAAAGGCGGTTTACCAGCCACATTTGGGCCAGAATGCCACTTTGGCACTCGCAAGAGCCGTGGGCAGAATAAGCTTGCGAACGGCCGATCGATTGACACGGAACCGGTCGTTGTCGGCGGCATCTCTCACAAGTGGCCGTGCGCAGCCAATCCACTTTCCAACTTACATTCTGTCATCCTGTAGTATGCAGTGACGTTGCGAGCTCACGGCCATGATGTCATCCACTCGAGCATGCTTTACTCCTCCCGTGCAGCTGCCTTTTGTCTCCAGCCAAAGTTGCGTACAAGGCCGGAACAATTGGGTGTTTCAAAGCGGGTATCTGCGCTTAACGATTCATTGCGTAAAGGGTACGTGCATCGTAGGCAAGAAATCACCAAGGTCTGATGTCAATCGAAGCTTGAATGCAGCACCGTGACTTGTACCTCCCCGCCTATTCTTACACTTGCATCCTGCCTGCCTGTACATTCACAAGCTTCGGCCGGTGAATGATGTTGTTTCGATGACGCCATGTTCCTGCTTCACATGATGGAGAAGGAAAATGCCATGGCTTAAGCTCTTCTAGGAGGTAATCAAGGTTGTGGGATGCCGCTTCCCTCCCCTCCATCATCGGTCTATATAAACTTGATCCATCCCCCCTTCATCTCCCAAACTTCTCTTCTTCATCACAATCTCGCAAAACAATCTCAGATCTTCATCTCAACTTTAAATCTTCACACTCAAACAACAACCAACAACCACCAACCAATCACAATGGATTCCATCAAGCAGGGCGCCAACTACGTCGGTGAGAAGGTCCAGCAGGCCACCTCTGGTGCCTCCAAGGAGACCAACAAGCAGGTCGCCAAGGACAGCAACGCCCCCGTTGGCACTCGGTAAGATTCTCTCTCTCTTCTCTGCCTCAATCAACGGAACAACAGCTAACAATGTGTGCTCTACAGTGCTTCCGCTGCCAAGGATGCTCTCGGTGACAAGGTTGACGAGTCCAAGCATGACGCCAAGGGCGAGGCCCACAAGGAGGCCATCTAGATGGACTGAGTGAGAGGGAACGATGACGACAACACTTTTGCTTTACCCCGTCTTGAGAGACAAATAGTCGATACCCCCTATGAGAACTCAATAATACAACCTTATTCGGCCTATTCTGCCTTTCCTTTGCTGATTCATCGTGACTGCTTGTGATTGTATCATTTTCTCTGCTACTTTTGTTAAATTCATGCTACTTGCATCATGCCAGATCCAATTTTGCAGTATTCCAACACGCTGGAGAAGGTACAGCGCTCTCCCATTTAGATACTGATCCTCAACATCTCAGAAACATACCGTCGCTCAGAGCTTCTTCCTAGTCTGCGTCGCCGCCCGTCGAACAGCAAAAGCATTGGAAATGTCACGAATCGAATACACAACCGCAAACAGCGGGATAAAGACCCACAGCATGTTGAAGAAGACCAAGTACACCCACAAGTACATGAAGTTGCTGCCGTCGAGGTTGATGTTGCCGGTGAGCCACTCAGGGCAGAAAGTCATGAAACCTGGTACATCCATTAGCCGCCGCGCCTTTGCAATTTGTTCGTACTATCCCATATTTACACACCTCCGTAGAGCTCGCAAGTCGCCAAGACAATCATCCAGATGCTGGCCTTGGGGTTCTTCTTGGCAAGCAGATAGCAGATGTACACAGCCAGGGGGCCATCAAAGAAGACGGTCAAAAGCTCAAGACTAATCACGCCCTGTAGAACGATTCCAACCCCCACGGTTAGCCAAGAACAACAGTCCACAACAGCGAAGAAACTCGTTCAAGAAGAAGAAACGCACCAAGTCGGCTCCCGCCCATCTCTTATCCGCCCTCGCATACACCATCCACAGCTGCGCAAAGGGATTATCCCCGCCACTCTGCGGCCCGTAGACGCGCTCGTTCTCGTAGCCCAGGAAGTTGTACGGCGTGGGCACCAGGTCGGCCAGCTTGTCGCCCAGCTCGGTCGCGGGGAGGTACGAGAAGAAGCAGTGGTAGAGGAAGCTGCCCTCGAGGATGAAGTGGCAGAGCGCGTCGGCGAGGTGCCAGATGAAGAGGAAGCGGACGGTGCCGGTGGTGGAGGCGCGGGGGAGGGCGATGTGGGAGACGGAGTAGGCGACGAAGACGATGGCGAGGGTGGAGAGGAGGGAGATGATTGTGGTTTGGTCGAAGAGGTCGGGCGGGAGGGAGGATTGGACGGCCATTTTTGGGGTGTTTGTTTGTTTTGTTGTTTTCTTTGGTTGGTTGTGTCGTTTGTCGAAGATACAAGTAGGATTTCTGGGTAGAGTAGTCAATGGAAGTTTTGAAGATGTCGGTGTTGTTGATGTTGATGCTTGTAATTTCAATGGCAGAGTCAATTCCTCGTGCTGAAGGAAGAAGAAAACACAGCAAGTGACACACACACCCAATGGAAGTGAGATGTTGACAGAGTAATCTCCTTCCGAGCTTTGCTGAGCCTTGGACAAGGAGCCCGTTCTTTATTAGCGTGGGGTCGCAAGATTTTAGACAGCCATTGTGGGGGTGGGGTCGGTCTTATTGCAACGAGGCTTCATCTCAGACTTGCATCAAGTGCTTATACCGTCTTGTTGCTTCGTATATTGCTTTTTCATTTTTAATTTTTAATTTCGTATGTTTGCCTAGGTACATAATAAATCCCCAACATTGTTAAACTTGGTTAAACTCCGTCAGACCCTTGACCTCTATAGTCAAAAAAACACCAATACACCCCCGTGCAAGTTTTCTCGCCTCAGGCGTCCCACTCCTTGAATCCCTTCTGCTTCTGTCTCGTGTTCCATCCCAGCTTCCCACTGATGCTGTTGATCCAATCCTCGCTCCTGCGTCCTTCTGTCTGGACCGACGCAAACGGGTATCTGCTCGCGCTGACAGTCACGTAGTCTCCCGGGCCCAGCTCCACGCGCTCTCGCCCGTCAAAGCTGGCCCACGAGGCCGTCCTGGCGTTGTAGGGGACGCCGACTCTCAAAACGATGGTGTCGGGCAGGATGATGGGCCGGAATGACAGCGTGTGGGCGCAGATGGATGTAACAAGCATGACGGGATTTTCAGGGTGACACAAGGAGCCGCCGGCAGCGAGATTATAAGCCGTCGAGCCAGTTGGTGTAGACACACAAATGCCATCCGCGAGCACCGAAGTAAAGTGCTCGTCATCTCCAAAAATTTCCGTATATGACATTGCTACAAAAAAAAAGGGGGGGATTGTGTGGTTAGAAATGTCTCTCTGCGGCGGTTGGCAGACAAGAACTACTTACTTGGGTTTGGTCCTCGATCAACCACGAGTTCATTCAGAATCTCAAATGTCCCCTCCGGCCGATGAGTCCGCTCATCTTCATTCTCCTCTCCAATCAGCTCCTCCACCAGATCCCGCTTATGATGCAACTCGTTGCCGTCCTCCTCAGACTCCGAGTCGGGCGTCTTCCTCTTCACGCTCCTCATGACGGTGCACTCAAAGCGAAGCCTCAAGCTCACCGTCACGCCCTTTGAAAACGCCGAGTTGAGGATTGGCTTGAAGTCTTCAAAGTCAAACTTGGTCAGGAACCCCAGGCTCCCCAGCGCAAAGCTCAACACGGGCGGCACGATCCTTTGGAAGAGCCAGCTCGCGTACAGAACCGTGCCGTCGCCCCCGAGAGTGATGACAAAGTCAAACTGGTGAGGCCGTGTCCTGCACATGCCTTCGTCCCAGTACCTCAGACGTTTCTGGATATCGTCTCGGGCGGTGTCCTCGTCCACGCCGCCCTCTTTAGCATAGTCGTGGGCCAAGTCATCGACCAACTTGCCCACATCAAACTTCTTATTAGTCTTGAGAATCTTCTCCACGTACACGACATACTTGACGTCTCTCTCCTTGCTGAGCAGCCACTGCGCCAGAGCTCTCGTGTTGATGATCAAGTCCGAGTCGTGGATCTTTGTCAGGAGAAAGATGCACTTGACCCGGAAGCGGATGCGCATGCTGCTCAGCCGTCTGCTCAGCTCGCGAACACCCCACGCCATGTCGCTCAGCTGCTTCTTGGTCAACATGCGGCTATGGAGGTTTTCGTCTTGCTGCTGAGTGAGATCCGTCTCGGAATCGGTCTTGGTCATCTCCTTGGTCCAGACCTTCTGGTCAACCTGCCCAAGGCCAGCATCGTCATCGTCCTCGAAGCAATCCGTGTCCACGACCACTCGGGATTTCTGCCGGGGTTTCTGCTCGGGGGCGGGGCTCTTCCGATCAACGACTTTGTCCATCCTCTTCTCGCCGCTAATGTCCTCCGCTCCATCGTGGTGGCTCGTGTATATCGGATGCGCATGGTGGAGGTTGCGGCTGGGTGAGCTCGCAGCCGAGCTCCCTCTGGACCGCCGCTGGTCCTCGATCAACTGATGGACAACGCATTCAGCACGTCGGCCCGGCGGGATGCGCTTTGTCTGAGGGACAGGAGCCTCGGACGTGACAAGTGAGCTCTTCCTCCTGTATGGACTTCCCGAATCAAAGGTGACCTGATCGTCATCAGCACACGGGCTTGCTTACGCAGAATAGCAATCATCGTTTGGCTAGAGAAAGAAACGAAAACACAACTGACCTCGACAGCTCCATCGTCCTCGTCACTCCCATTAAGACTCCCCTCTTCAAACGTAATGTGCCTTTGCGGCTTCGGTCGCCCGTCTTGCCCGTCTTGCTTGTCGTCCTCGCAGTCCCAGCCCATGATGTAATAGCTGAGTGGGTTATCGCGGGGTCGTGCCGCGGCCCATGTGCATCAGGCGCCGTGTTACAGTACAAAAGAGCTGCTGGATCTCGGCCCAACCTGCACTGCGTCGGAGTAGATGTAGATGTACCTTGGATGTAGATAGCAGTGGTGGTTGGAGCTGTGTATCGTCTGCCAATTGAATGGAATGGATGGCAATCGAGGGTTTGAATTTGTCAGAATTAAGCTGAACCATCTCGGACGATCGACGGGAGCAAAGCATGCTTTCACGCATTGCCACATGGCCTGGTGCTAAATCGAGATGGTGGGGAATAGAGTTCCCGTCAAGCTCGGCCTTGGTTTGGTGATCCTTCTCATGAGAATGGCTTCACGATGTGGGTGCAACTGCTGCTGTTCATCTCAATAAGTAGCACAATCATGTGATGAGAGGTTTACTCTCTGTTGAATATCAATTACCCAACGTCCTAGGTATCTAGAGCATCAAGTACCTACCTCAGACGCAGAGTTGGTGATCTAATCCAGATGACGTCAAAACTTGAAGTGCCGAAAGTGATTAGTAGTAGTGTCAGCTAAACCCGAGTCTTCATCGCGAGTATCGTCCGATTTACGTTCCTATATCAGAGACCAGACCTTCCCTCCCAAGATCTCGGTTGCATTGAGATTGACAAGGTTGAAATAGGTAGCTTTTATATCATAACCCACAGCCAATCCATGAATGTGCACTCATTCAAGCAGTCTCCAGGGTAGGTGGGAGTGGCGCACTCTCGAGTACCCATGTAGATACCTTAGTACCTAGGTACCTATGAATGTCATCACAAGCTGTAATCCCAGAGTACATGGCAGTATATCCGATGCAGCTATCGGGACCATGCACACTTTATAGTTCAACTCTCCTGCGCAGATAAAAAGGCTGAATACTAAGTGATACCTAGTCAAAGTCAACTTACACGCACGAGAAATGGTTATCAACTCGCTGATAGAACAGAACAAGTGGGGTCGGGCGGGGAGCCTCAACCGCATCCAAACTCTCCCACGATCTCAAAAACCCAAAACATCACATACGCCAATTGAGCATCGGTCAATAGCCATATATCCATCAAGGCCGTTCATATACGGTCACAGGTAGTAAGAAATCACAGCCCACCGCAATGAAGCACCTCATCCTGGTCGGAGCCTGTTACTTGGACACCATTCTAAGGCAAGTCACGAAAACTGCCCTCATCTACAGCATGAGCATATACCATCACATTCTAACACTCACCAAAACAGCGTGCCCCATTATCCACAAGAAGACGCAAAGCAACGAGCCTCGAGCCTTGAAATCCGGCGAGGAGGCAATTGCCCCAACTCGCTCGAGGTGCTCCAGCAGCTTGTCGGGCCGCAAGATGCCCTTCGCATGTACTTGGTGTCACCACTTCCGAGCAAATCATCGCTCGCTACGCAGCATATCAAGGAGTCCTTTGGTGAGTCGTCGCCCGTGGGCTTCCGGCACTGCCTTTACCGAGAGACGCACACCCAAGCAGCCAGCAGTTACATCTTTCGTAGCAAGCAGACGGGAAGCCGTACCATCATAAACTACAATGACCTACCAGAAATGACAGTTGACGAGTTCGAGGCCGTTGTGCGGAGATTCAATCCTAGCGATGAGACCTGGTGGCACTTTGAAGTGAGTCCCAGTCCAGCTCAAAGGCGAAAAACCACAACACACTCCCTGCTGCCTTGTGAAAGCTGCGCCCGCGAATGGCCGTGTCGAGCGAGGCACGCCACAGCATCTGATCCTTCGACACCCTTTTCAACAATCCTTGTCTGACAATTCTAGCTCAGGGCCGCATACCCAATACTACGTTAGAGTGCGTCCGCAGGCTGCGTGATAAGCTGCCAAACGCACAAATCAGCGTCGAAGTCGAGAAGCCGGGCAGAGACGGGCTTCGAGAACTCGCAGCCGAGGCCAACGTGGTCTTCTATTCCAGATCCTGGGCAGAGGTACGTAACATTGCGCCATGGGATGGAAGCGGAACAAGTGGCTTCGGCAGCCCCAACCAACTTCGTATGCGAGGGGGGGGTCGCAAGCCCAACCGCCAAAGGCTAGGAAGAAGAAGAGGAGGAGGAAGAGGAAGAAAATGATGAAAAGAATAAAGCGGACAAAGCCAGAAAAGGCATGCAAAAGGCTGAGAGATTAATGTGCATAGAGCTGCGGTCATGGGTCTGCCGAATCGTGTCTCGTGGACGAGCAACGACGACGGGAAGCGTAAGCGTGCCCTTCTTCCAAACGCCCTGCTGCGAATCTATTTTGCCTAATGTTGTTTTGCCGCTGATTCGGACATGGTCAACTCATATAGCAGCAGTAGGTCCCTTGCTCTACTCGTATGCACTTGGGGTGCGGAGGGAGCCGCCATGTGCCAGTCGCCTGAGCAGATCGTCCACTGTCCCGTCGAAAGCCGTGACAAGTCCATTTCGGTCGTTGAGTAGGTTACCCCAGCGCGAGGTCTCTCTTTGTTCGGGTGCCCCATGCCGCCCTCCCCATTTGGCTCGACGGCATCGCACCCTCAAGCCTTGGACTAGTTTTTTGCGAGTGCTCGTAGCACGGAGCTTTCGAGGCACTGCAGCAGCTGACACGTCCTTGCCATTAGCTCGGTGGGAGCGGGTGACAGCTTCGTCGCGGGAATGCTCTACAGCCTGGTCTGTCGCGACAGAAGCTGGGATGTAAGCCACGGGCTGAGATTCGCCGTGCACCTGGCCACGACAAAGGTCCAAAGGGAAGGGTTTCAGGGGCTCGGCGCACATGTCCACGACTGGCTAGTAGGCAATGCGTCCTGATCGCTTCGTTCAATTCAGCATTCGGCTCAGCCCTCGCACCGTGATGAAAACAAACCAGCATGCGGGTCGGAGCCGCCTGTTGACTGACCAGGCCAGGGAAGCGGCCAAAGATGTTCTGTACCTAGAAATGCGCGGCCCTGAGGTACAAGTAGCGTTCGCGCCAATGCTAGCAGTCTTTCCTGGGTGGGCGGAGGCGAAAACAAAGACGAGAGAGAGGGGAGTTTGGCTACTGCACCCAGTTCAGGACTAGGTGATATTTAACGCGCAACGCACAAGGATTACGAGTATGTACTCGCACGGGCAAGTCTGTACGAGTAGGTACTCGTGCAATATCACCAACAAAAAGTTGTACTTGTGTGAGCACACAGAGCACGCCGTACTTGGCAACAATCGACATGGTGGCCTGTCAGACAACCAGCAAGCCCGTGTGCTGTTCTAGCAATCCTCTCAAGGCCGGAGGGTTGTCTGTTTTGATGCTCCAAGGAAGGGGGTAAGGAGCGGTGAAACCGTTTGGTGTGTAAGAGCAGAGGATGAGCCCGTCAGGTGGAGAGTGAAAACGGAGTCAACTGAGGGAAAAGACCATGTATGATACGCCATTGGCCCGTGAGGCTTTGCAGCATCTCAATGCAATATCCGACGCCCAGCAAAAGAGGACGCAAAAAAAGGGCAAAGGCGACAGTGACAGCGAGGGGTCCTAGAAAGGGCCGGTGATTAATTGTGGGCAGACGATCATGGCTGCTGTGTCTCGACTCTCTGGCCTCGGTGGAGACTGGCGTCGAGCAGCTTGCAAATCGCCTGTGAGGCAAGGCAAGTAAACCCCCATCTCTTAAATCGCTAGTCCGTGCATATCATACCAGGTTGCATACGCAAACAAGCGGCTGGTCACCAACCTAAGGGTGATTTTCGTCCCCTTCCCCTCCTCTCCACCGCCGTGCGTCTTGAGGGAAAAGAGAGAGAGAGAGAGAGAGAGAGAACAGAAAAGACGGTTACCGTCAATGGCCAGTGCTCGACGTGCATACTCGCACTTGTATGTACAATGGACGCGGGCGGGCGGTCCTGTTGCCCTCGAATTCAGACGGGACTGATAAAAAGAGGAATCATGATGCCACCACTTGCAATATCAGTGCTCCTTACACGAGCTGCCGTTCCGGACTCCCAATATAGAGTACGAGTACGGGTAGCTATTATCGCGCGAGTTGGTGGTGCTCGTAAGCCAAGGATTTCCGACTCTTAGGTCCGCGAAAGGGGTCAAAAGGTCAACCCGGCTGGGAAGCTTTAGCTGATGAAATTACTGAAAATGTCTGTCACCAGGCTGGCGCTTAAGGTAAATGTCGTGACTGTACGAGTACTCCGTACACCTGTTGGAGGGGAGATATGAAAAGGGTGGTGGATGAGACACAAAGGATCGGGAAGCTATATCGGGAACACCAGCCCGTAGCTCAAGTGTTAAAGGCACACCCGTTGGGGAAAGGGACGTTCAGCCAAGGCTAAAATGAACCAAAGCCAGATCATTCCCTGTTAATGCCTAGCGAATGGGTGAAGGATCAAAGGACCAGCAAAAGCCCAACATCTACCCACGTCAAAACGCGCTGTTTCGGCCGTTTCTGCGCTGCCTACTCCATACACACGGCAAAGTTGTATACGGGCTGCCGCGCAGGCTGCTATCGCCGCCATGTCCCAAGGAGGGAGCTGCAGTGATCTGTAGCCTATTGCGGGCGTCAAGTGAAACGAACAAATCAGGATCAAAGGCCAGGTCGGGAGGGTGGCGAATACTTGGCTGAGGGGGGCGTCGTTTTAGAATTCAATGATGGGGGCGCCTCTTGTTTAATTGCTAGGCTGCGGCCGAATCTTGATCCAACATTCCAACCAAGCAACTTGTACTCGTACTGTAATGCAGCTGGCAGGGAGTCCTCGTACGATAGCAGATTCGCCGCCGCTGCCGTTGATGGAGCCTCGATGCAGAGAAATGATACCTGTAGCAAATACTGGTTGCTGGCTTGATTCGACGCCTAACTTTTCCTCCCCTCCTTTTCTTCCTGTTGGACCTGGCCCTGAAGAGAGCCTGTGCCCAAGATGGGGAAATGGCCAACAACAACATGTCAGCAAAAACACAGCTACAAAGGAAGCACCAAGAGCATGCTGACGCTCTGCTGTTCCCCTTGCACAGGTCCATCATCAGGGGGGGGGGGGCTTAAAAACGAAAATCCGAATTCCAGAGTCAAGTGATGCAATAAAATGTAATAGTATCATGCATCTTAGAGAGGTCGATCGCCGCAAGCCGTTCGACGCCGAGGGAAGGTGGGATGTCGGAAGGCATCCGGCGCCAAGGCGGTAGCTGAGTGACACAGAGGCTCCGTCGAGGCCTGCTTGTACTCGTACTACAACAAATGCCAGTGGACGGATCCAATCTGATGTTTCCTAGCGCTCCATGCTGGTACCAAATAATCAAAGGACTGCTGTTGCTCCTCCTTGGTAAGCTGCTGGCCACTAGGTGAATTATCAATGTGCCCGTTCGTCGAAACCGACAAAGGATGATACAGATTGCCAGTGAATTTCTCCCAGGGCCCTGTTCACCTTATTCCCAGCATTCCTTGTGATATTACGCGCTCCGTCAAATGGGAAAGCATAGGGGTTGCCTCGGGGCGTAATATGCGTGTAATGGGCCTAATGTCAAATGCCACTCTAAATGGCAGGATCAGCACCTGACGTTCCATTGGCCCATTGACTTGTTTCCACGTTGGGGCCAATAGATAGCGGGCACTCTATCATATGCGACAGCCTACGCCATGATAAAATTCGCGGCCCTCAAGTCCGGAACATTAGGTGTCGAACGAGGCTCAACATGCAACTCCACTAATTCATCCCCGACTTTTCAGTCGGAGCTACTGTACTCCATAGTATGGTACGAAGTACAGTAGGTAGAACAGCACCATGACAACCGTGTGGCGTTGGGAATTTTTGGCCAGGGTGCCAGGATCCAGGTTGTATGCCTGTACGAAGTACGAGTAAGACAGGCCAAAGTGCACATGCACAGGCTAGATGGACATACTGTAGTGCCGTATGGGTAGGCAGTCTAGTACATACTTCGTACGAGTACCTCAAAGGACGACGGGGGCAGTTGAGCAATGGACCACTAGTCGGCGTCCCCAGGTTAGACGCCTTGGCCTGCTGGTAGGTTGTATGGATTTGCCAGCAGGCTTTGGTCTCCAGCATCTCTTCATACCTAACACGAGCCAAGTCCTGTGCTGGCCCTGCGGTATTGGTTTTGGTAAGGCGTTGCTGTTGGTGTGGGGGGCCAGCCGCCTGCGACAGACTCGGCTCGACAAGCCCCTACTTGTAATACCTCCCACATATTGACACAGACAAAAGTAGGTGGCGTCTTGCCTTTGGTTGCTATGAACCAACCGCTTGCCGCGTCATGGTAGCCATGTACGAGTATGTGGAAAGCTGCCAACGCCAACAGTACAAGACCAGACACTACTTTGAGTAATGACCCTGGGGCGGTCGTAAATTTCGCGGCGTGTTTCTCCGTGGACATGTATCTGAGAGCCAAGCACGAATTGCTTGTACGGATCCAGCCTTACTATCAGCAGGCTACCGGGCGTGAATGGTCGGGTCATCAAGTAGCCCTACCCTCGCATTTCGTCGCACCCCTTCACATGGCTCTACCGCTCCTCTTTCATTCTGCCGAATTATTCTCTCAGCTCACGTGCAGGAGAAACGCTATTAGTAGTAGTCCAGTCTGTGGAGGCTGTAGGGTAGTAATGAGGCGTCACCTTGGCCGGAGTCGGTGAATTTGGTTGCATGGCGAAAGCCAGAGATGCAATATGCCAGCAAAAGGGGGGGGACGCGGAACTTTGGGTCCGTCTGCAGAGTGATATGCGCCACTGCAGTCGTCACATTGGTCGTGCCAACGCGTGCAACCATGTGAAAAAACAGCAATCTGCCGTAAAAGACGAATGTCGTGCGCTGCCAGTGCAGGTGAGATTTTTGTGGTGGTGGATAAAGTTCTCGGCGATAGCCTATACATAACTAGTGGATGGCGTACGGGCAGTATGAGAAGCCATCCGCAATCGATATCTCACGAGGCAGTAAGTTGCTGGTATGATATCCATCACTTCGCATCGTGTTAGCCAAATTGCGCCGCGTGGAACACCGAATGATGCCCTGGGCTTTTGCAACTCAGCTCCGTCCTGACCACTTCTGGTGGCGGTAGTGGTACATGTAGCGTCGGCTGCCGGGGGTTGGGTTGGGCGACAACTGCGTCGTTTGGGGAGAATTAACGTCCAAGTGCTCGTTGTCAGACAGGTCTGTCTTGGTTCGGATAGTCCAACTAGGGTAGGCAAGGATGTGGAACTTTGAGCAATAAAGTTGTCCTGGTTGAAACATGGCTGCGTGGGACATTGACGCCCGCATTGGGCTGTAACGTGTGGAAGAGGCCTGCAGCAAGAGTTAAAAGCCATGCCAAGCAACTTGCTAGCAGTGCTAGGTTATTGAGGCACTGGTAGCCGAGGGGCCAGCATTGGTCCCAGGGTCATGATCACCACGGCCGGCGAAGCTTGCTCAAAAGGGCGTGCGGCGTTCAGGCATGTCTGAAGTACTCCGTACCAATGGCGAGGGAGGAAACCCGTACCAGAGCGCATTCGTGTGCCGAGACAAACAATCAAACAGGAAGCCTCTCTGGCCTGGTGCGCCACCGATGACGGCTGAAAGGTTATGCGGCGACCAACGCATTTGCCGGGAGGCTCAGTCTGGACCTGGCCAAAGTGGGCGAGTGACGCCGATCATCGTATTGTCGAGGGAGCAGCGAAAAAAGGGGGCTCATTCTCTGGCGCCGTCGCCATTCGCTGCAACCCCACAAGTGCGACAAGGACACGGCCCGCCAGGTCACGGCGCCAGTGGATCAAGAGCCGTCCGAGCATTTGCAAGTCACCGGAGGCTTGAGTGGGACAATCGCGGCGGGGGGT